CTCAGGGAAATGGCTGAAGCCGCCATGCCGAGGGCGCTGGGTGCCCCACAGGCGGAGGGAAGCCGCCCCTCCGCACCCCGCCTTCCCACGCCAGGGCCGCTTCTCCCCCAGCCAGCTTGCCATAGGCTCGAGCAGGGACGGAGAGCAAGATGTCAGTTGGACTTGATGATCTTAGAGGTCTTTTCCAACCTTAATGATTCTATTCTATTCTGCGGCAGCTCAGGGCCTGGGCTTCAGGCTAGGCCATGGGAGCCTTTCCCTGGAAGGCTGCCTGGGCTGTGTCTTGTCTTGTATTTGCCTGTTTATCTGCTTAGTGTAAATAAAGGTTGGGGCTCGGGAAGAGAGGTGTAATCCAGCAAGTTCTTGCCTGGAGGTAAATTAGTTAATTCCTAGCCTGTAGGAAATGTTTAATGGTGGAAAACAAAGCCTAAAATGTGAAGTTAAGACACACATAAAACACCTGGCCAAACGAGTCCTTTGAAAGACCTACTTCCTGACCAGGAAATGAACTTCTAATTCAAATGGGGAAACGGGGGTAAAGAATGAGGTAACTTGGGGTTTAACCCTGGTTAGCAGCTCTGAAGGCCTCCAGTAGCTTGAGCTCAGTCTCGCTTAAACCACTGACTCGAGTCAATTCTTATTTTAGTGCAATTTAACTACATCGCTAGTTACCCCCTTAAGGGGGGAAAAAAAAAAGAAAAAAATGAAATGCAAAGAAGTCCTGACAAGTTGTCTTGTCTTTTTTACTGTGACCATTCTCAGAACAAGCCACTGTCCTGGCCCAACGTTCACTTCTTAAACAGTGTGTTAAAATGCATTCAAACAGACGAGTTTCTTAATGTTCTCATAACACACATCAAAGGTACAAGCGGTCAAAATTGAACTGACCTGCCCAGGAGCAGAACCATAGCCCTGCGTGCAATCCCAGCGTCGCGGAGCGCCTTGTGAGCCACGACCCTCCTCACCTTGCACCCTAAACCTGGTAAGATGGGGCTGGCACCCTAAAAAACCAGACTGAATTCCCAAAGCCCTGGGAACTAACAGATAAAAGCGCTTGGAGCTGCATTTCTCCCAGCAAAAACTCCTCCTCTCGCTTCTCGTCGATCCCGGTCTGCTCAGGACTTAATAAATTAAACCCAGCATATTGATATCCACCTAGAAAATGGTACATGCAGGATGGATGAGAGCACAATTTAGTATCATCACAGGAGGAAGGGGCGTTAACAAACAAGCTGACGATTCGCACGCCAGAGCCAACAGACTGGTGCCTCCGCTGCATGGATGCGGATGGCTGCCTCGCCCGGGGAGTTGCTCCAGAAGATCGTCCTAACTCCCACTGCAACCACATTCATACTGTCATTCCAGCTTATTTAAATCCACGTTGTACATTATACTCTTCTGGGAAAAGAGATGTGTGTTTTGGATTGTGTTATTCAGGAATATTCAGATTCACCTTTTACCTTAACCCAAAGGAACTTTAGATAGACCTAAAAATCAGCTGTATCTGCGTGGTTCATCAGCGCAGTAAAATCTCCGTGCCTGAAGAGCAGATGAGCGATGTTCTCTGGGATTTGGTCACAAAGGTAATAGTTTTGTTTGGGATTTGCTCTGGACTGTGCACAGACACACAACGAAACAGCATGTTCCAACAAATAAATATCGTGTATTATTTACACGTAACAATTTGACACAGAGTTTTTATTTCTTTATGTGAATAAAATTCAGTACACTGAGTAGCTTTCTGAAGGCCTGTCTCCAACTGAGCAAGAAATCTGGCTGGCCTGTGCTGCTTCAAGATCAAACATTCACTCATTTAGTATGTGAAGTATGCGCCAGACAAAGGGTCCATGCAAAGCGCTGCAGGATCCAGAGGGATTATGGTAATGTAGAATATGGTGTTACATTTTTTAATGTAGTTTTCCTATGAATAATTTCACCTGAAGAGGACAAAAGGACTTGCCAAATTCAAAAGTTAAATAACCAAGAAAAAAGTTATAATGATTCATGTAAATTTTACAGACTCTTAAATCATGTCTTGCACGCAGAGCCAGATTCCTTTCCAGTCACGTGAGTACACAAGGTAAATAAGCTTTGCAATTATCAGCAATTATCTCTGAAGTGATTCGTTTTCACAGACGGTATTTTTATGAAACTATACAAATCAGGTTAGCATATATCAGTGCAATAGTTATATTAGTTTTCTCTTTTAATGAAATAAAACTGTTGAATAAACAATTATGTTCCAGTGCTTATAAATATTAATATAAATCTTGGTCAGCTTTCAAAAGAAAGCTATTTTTCAAAAGACTTATTTGTCCCATAATATATTTAACGAGCCGTTGTATTGTCACTCAAAAGTGCATCAATTATACCTTGATAGAGGTAATTATACACAAAACAAATTATACACCCGTACGATTATCAAAAAGCTTGATAATATTCCCTAGCAGTAATCTCTGCATCACATGTTCCTGTACCTCCTGCGCAGCGTTAGGCAAACCCGACGTGGCAACCTCCGTCGCTGGAGCCGCCAGCCGAGCGCTCCCCGCGGGCTGCCTCCCCCTCGCCCCGCACCAGGCTGAGCCCTCCAGGCTCCCTCCAGAGCTCTCTGCCTGTCAAATCCAGACGCAGCAGCAAAGGAAAGCAAGGAGCAACAGCCATTGCTGGGTGAGCAGAGGTCTGACCCTGGAAACGCTTTAAAATTACAGGTTTTGACCCCCCGGTGCGTTACCAGCTGAGCTGCCGTAACTCCTGCCTTTCATCTGACAATGCTCCTGTCTCCACACTGTACAGGCTCCCGCTTCGTGCTCAGCTGATGTTTTATTCTCCCCAGGCACCCCCATCCTATCCGCTCATGGAAAGAAAAATATCCTTCTATGCGGGTGGGACCAGCAATTAGAGAGCCTCCGGGGTCATGGCTCTGCCATCAGTCACGCCTCTCAGACCATGGGTCCGTCTAGCCCAGTGTCACCCGGGAGAGGATGCCTCGACGTGGCAGTCATGAATTTCTCAGCCATCTCCCGCAACAAGGTGTCCAACACCTTTTCTGAATAGCACGGCTCCACACCCGTGTGAAATGCTCGGCACAAAACGGTGCTTGTAAGGAAGTCCACGTCGTCACCTCGTGGGTGCAGGCATTTCTTCCTCCGTTTACCTTTGATGCCACAAATGAGGTTAGAGAAGGAGCTCAGCTGTGAGTACAGGACGGAGGTGGCCGGTGCAAGGAGCAGGGGACGGTGCCTGCCGTGCTCTGCACTTGGGGCTGCGTCAGCCGCCGGGCAGTCGCGTCACCCACGCAGGCGGGAACTCAGCTCTCCCATGGGAATTAATTTCCCAGGACTTACCTATGCACCGGAATTGGACCCAAAAAAAAGCTATTCTGGAGGAACGTCCCATGGAGAGTTCTTCTAGAATAACTCTTTCCGGGTGATGATTAAAAATAGCTGAATTTAAGATGTAGGCAAACTCTAGTCTCTCTCAGTCCCGCATGGGTCAGGCACTTGGGTTTAGTGTAAGGCTGTAGAACACGGATATCTGAGGTTTTAGTCCCTTAAATAATGCCACTTTCAAGATGAAGACCTTAGTTAGGGAGCCTCTGGGCGAGCCCTTGCTCATGCCTTCGCCAAGGAGTCTTGGCTATCGGTCTAAACTGATGACAAAGACATCTGTGTCACCAGATGACCAGCGTTATCCACATTCACTTGCCCCACCGATTCCTCCATAAGGCAGACCTGATGAATGCCTATTGCTTTGGAAAGTATTAGCACTTATCTCCCTTTTACAGAAAAAAGTTAAGATTATTTTAAATATTTCTTGTGGTGAAATAGCAACTTGATTAAAAGCATTTCATAATCTGTTCCCAGCTTTAAAGCTATATGTACAAAAAACAGTGCAATACGTTTCGCTCTTGAGAAAATCTTAAATAAACACTTTCTCAGAGAGCGTAGGCAAATAAATTCCTCCTCATCCATACCATACACGCATTGTTTAGGGTCTCTCCCATGGAGCAGCATAAATACTATCTAGACCCGAAGCCTAATGCCCGTGTGGTTTTTCTCTCTGCAGAGGCTCTGGCATGAAGCGCAGGGACATCGAGCAGAGCCCGATGACGGCCAGGCTCACCGCCATGCAGACGCCCATGGACCCCAGAGTCTGCAGGGAGGAGGGAAGCAGCGAGGTGGGCAGGAGCTGGTCGTGGCGCTCGGCCATGTCCATCATGATGGCCTCCATCTGGAAGTGCGTGCTGATGATCCCACACACGTGGAAAACTTGGTGGCTGTGCCCTGCAACAAAGCCAAAAGCACTCACCAAGAAACTCCTCGGGCTTCATTAAAACACTGCTGTGAGGGCTCGGCAGACCTTCTGCATAGCATCCATGGCCTCCGGGCATCACATTTTTAAATATTTATTCTACTAATTTCTGTGGCTTTTATCATTGCGCCACCAGAGCAGAGAGATCTTCCTTTCCAAAATGCAGCCGGCTGTAATGGAAGCGAGGGAGGTGCTGCTGCGGTCCTGGCACACGCGACGTGCTAAGGAGCACCGTGCTTGCACGTGGCGTGGGGAACAGGGGAGATGCTGATGCGGCCAGGACTGCCGTCCAGTCTCCTTGGTGGCTGTCCCTGCGGTGCCCTGACGTGGCACTGTGAAGCACCGCTGTGCCACAGGTGAGGTTTTTTGCATGAGAAATGAGTGTTTTGCAGTCATGAAACGCTCTGTGAAACATTTTGGAAACAGCGTGCTTGCCGAGCTGTTTCCACTCTACCGAGGCAGGACTGCTGTATCTCGTATGTAGAACTACATTTCGCATTTCCAGCGGGGAATATATTATAACCTCTGGGAGTCACTCATGCATTAATGCACTTTCTTCCTGAAAATAATGAGAAAACAATGCCAACTCACCCTTTCAGCACTTACCGATATAATCAAAGTGTCCTGGCGCAAGTCTCTCTGGCAGATGGCTAGCAAAGATGAAGCAAGTGAGGAAGGCAAAGACGGTGTGCTTGTAGTGGACCAGGATCGCAGCCTCCATGCAGCTCTCCACTGCGCACAGGTAGAACTGCAGCGGCAGAGAGGTGTCCACGCAGGGGACCGTGCAAAGGGAAGAGGAGAACAACACATTTCTAAAGGCGGCAGGGCCATTCCCCGAGCGCCCGTCATCTCTGGCTGCCCGTCACCCAACAACAGGGCACGTGGTGCCGGACCCAGAGCTCAGTACAAGAGCCGTTGCCTCCATTTCCTGCAAACCCCAGCCCCACACCTCCTGTCCTGAGACCTCTCTAGAGCAAAATTCCCACCCTGTTCCAGTTTAGGAACTGGAAAACTTGCAGCTTTCAAAGGCAGTAACTTTCCAGCACAGGCAAAGGTTGAGCGCGGCGCTTTGAAGCGGAAGGAGTCTGCCTATCAATAGGTGCAGGAAAAAATAACCAAATCTCTTTTCCTGCCAGAGTTTGTTTTCCTTTAAAAAAAAGACCAAAAAAAAGGCTGGCATATTTTCCCAAATATTTTCAGACTAAGATGAGGTAGCTGTTATTTCCAACCCTGCAGCAAGCAAATGTCTTGGTGCTGTGAATATGGCCCGTGGGAGGCATACCCTGTAGAAGAGAGGGATGCTGTCGAAGAGGTATGGGTACACAAAGGCCAGGGTGCGGGAAACCTTGCTGAACCTGGGCTGCTCCGCCTCCAGAAACCTAGAGGAAAACAGAGAAGGTAGCGCGGCAGATTAGGCTAGCGTAAGCGCTGGATTCCGTTTGTCAGTCGCTGGCTGGGGACTGGGAGTCGCAGTATACAGGCTGCACGTACATCCTCCCACGGGTGACTCTGAATTCAGCCAGAGCAGCGTGGTTTTTGTCTGCGGAGAGGATTAAAGCTGCCACCACCCTCAGCTCACGTGGCTGAACCTTCCCTGGCTGAACCCTGAGCTGGAGGAGGAAGGATTTAGGGGCCACCCTCCCCTGTTCTATGCTCCGGCTCTCGCAGGTGCGTCTCTGCAGCTCTGAAAACAATCTTTTTTTAACATCGCCCTGGCGTGGCTGATTTTTGTTCTTTTACCATTGCTCATTAGCCATTACCCATCAGCGGCTAGGAACAGAGCTGGCCTTTAAACAGCTGCTGCCCCGACGTTGTTTTTAATGGAGTTTTCACTCTTTGTTTTGAATCAAGCTCTCGGAGCGCAGCAATCAAGAGGAATACATCTGTCTGCCTTGGTTTGGAAGGCTTTCGTAGGTAATGCAGCATTCAGGCTGTGATTGTCGCTCTTCGTTAATTAAGCTGTATTGCAGTTGATGTCTGAAATGCATGAAATCTCGCAGCATCCTTTTTTTTTACATCCTGCCAAGACTTTGCAATTGTCATTTCAGAGAATGCACAGAGAGAGTTACTGAAAACACAAAGTAAAGTAATTTAACAAGTTACTTTTTAATGACATCACCATTATAATGGAAGCAGCAGCCTGTTTGTTACAATCATATTACATATGAGGAGGAAAGCCTGTGTCTGTAACGGGCAATAATATTCTGCATTTTGTTCCCCAGGAAATAGTGCCGCGGAAGTGTAGGACATACTTCATAGCTGAAACCACAACAGAATTGAGCACCCAGGTCCCAAAAAACCCATTATAAAACCTGGAGCCGGGTCGCAAGCCGTGTGCCGAGCTCTTGCCGCACAGGGAACACAAGTCAGCCAAAACGTGGGGACAGAAAGCGCAGGGGAGCCTCAGCGGAGCCCGGAGCACACGC